CATGTTAAGACAGAATGGGATATGAATAAAGGTTAATAATTTATTGTCTTTTATTTTGATATTAAAAAAAAATGTAGTATCATCCAAATGTTTTTTTTTACCCTATGTTAGTTTGATATGAGGAAAATGGAGGGAAAAGAAAAAAAATTTAATAAGTTCCATTTAAAAAATTAAAAAAGTGGGGTTAAAACTTTTTGAATTAATTTTTAATACTCTTTATCTTACATCATCTATTTATTAAACTTTTATAACCCAATTTCTTTAATTTTTTAAATTAAAATATTAAAAAATTTCTTCTCCTCGCCTCCCTTTTATTTTCCTAGCATCAAATACAGGGAAGGTATCAATGGAAGGTAACTTAAAAATATTTTTAAAAAAAGAAAAAAGAAAAACAAGAAGGGATTCCTTTGAGATGTTAAAATCGCTATAAAATTCAGTAGACTAAGAGGAAAAATAAAATTTTGTACCGTGGAATAAAATTGAGATTTTTTTTTTTTTGAAAAAATGCCTCTATCTAGCTAGGCTATGTGCTTATTCCTTTGACTTTGAGCACTCAAGTACACAATATGAAAGATATATGGAAAGCAAGAGGACACTTGGTTGTAAATAATATGAGGGCACTTGATTTTGTTTTTTTTAATTGCATGGTTATTTAGTCTTGCATTTTATATTAAAAAGAAATATTAATGTCTACGAAGGGTAAGCCTTTCCGTGAAAGGCACTGTTTTTTTCCCCTAGGTAACATTTACTTCCCAAAAAAAAATAATCAGACAAAAGGTTGATTCTAGCTAATTTTTCAGGAATTAACCCTGAAATGATTCCTTATAAAACAGCTTGCTTGGGATGTCACTTTCATTTCACTTTTGAATGATATGTTTGGCAATCTTTCAAGAAGGCGACACATCTCCCTTATGCCTGGACACAACAAACGTGATCCAATGAGGTAGCGACTAATTTTCACAATTATTTTTTGTGGGGTTATTAACATAACAAATATGTTATTTTATGAGATGTTGTGAACAAGATCGTTTTGCTTTCTTTCCAATCATGAACAAAATTGTTAGACTCACAATTTGAATAAACTTAGAAAGTAAGCTCGTAATGGCCATAATATACTTTGACCATTGCAACGATATGATTTGAATGGAGAATTCTGGCATAATGTATTATTTTTTCCACACACTCTTTTATGGCTTATTGCCTTCGGTCTTTGATATAAAACTAGTAGAAGAATTGAATTTGATTTTAAATATAAATCTCAATTTATTTTGTTTTTTTAAAAATATTTTTATTGATTGTAAAGATTCTCACAAATGGATAATTCTAATGATCAAATGTATAAAATTAAAGAGGATAATTTAGTTAGATCAAGACACACTTATTTAATTTTCTTAATATATCAAATTAGTTATTGAACTCCTATATTGAGGATCAGAGGTGGTGTGTATATTACTACTAGTATGGTTCTGTCTAGAATTAGTTCCTTCTTTTAATAAGACTTATATCTCATCGCTTCATTAAATATTTTTCAAGATTATTATTTTGAGTTTGTGCTCTAGTAAAGAAAGGCAACTCAATATTTTCTACCTTTCATATTTTTTCTGTTTCACTTCTTCTACTATTTAGGCTAAGTCTTTAAGATTTGGATCCTTATGTCTTTGATCCATATCTCTGTAGGGCATGTTCTTTTGATTTATTCGTAAAAATTTGATTGTGAAACCAATATCTTAAATCCCTTTTCACAAATCTATTGAGTTAATTATATTATTAATCCTTAAGTTTTTGTTTAAATAGTAAGAGTGTTACACCTTAGCCAAAATTATTGGAAGGGACATGCATTCCTAGAACATGGAATTCACAACCATTGTACCCTAGCTAGGTAAGAAAAAGAAAATTATTGTGATGATTTTTCCTTAATTCAAACCCCTCACTTAAAAGCTATTTAGGGGGTGTTTGGCAAAACCAAAACCTAGGTTTCAGAATCACTTTTCCGCAAAACGAGGTATCTCCTCCATATTGCTTCGTAATCCGTAAAAGCACTTCTGAAACTATGGTTTGGTTTCTATCCAAACACCCCCTTAAAGAAGGCTATACTCCTTTTCTCTGTTCCTTTAAACCAGCTATGATGGCTCAGGAGTCAGCAAAATCATTATGTGATACCAACAATTCAACTATTTTTTAACTACAATACATGTGTTTATTTTTATTCACAAAAGTTTGAAATTCAGACTTTATATTTAAGATGCTATAACTCCTTCCATCATCATCAAAGAAAAGTGAGTGAAAAAGCAAAAAAAAAAAATTTATTTGTTAGAGATTATGCTCCAAATTCTTATGACATATTATGATTATTTCACTTATGGATATAATTGAATTTGATATTCAGTTGGAGAAAACTTGTTAAGTAAGTCAAGAAACCGGGCGTGAAGTTCTCCACATTTGATTAAAATTTTCAAGCTAACAATTCTTTTTTTCTAAAAGGCTACATATTTTGTGCGTATATGCATGTATATATAATTTTTATTTACTGTAATAATAAGCTAGTGATTCATTGTGATCTTTATTTTGCGTGTACCATCTTGTATTACTTTTTTGTCTAACTTCTATTTAATTTCTAAATTTTTTATTTTTTTAATTCATTTAATTTCCTGAATTCTAACATTATTCTTGCTTTTATACTTGAGTCAAAATTAGTGACTCGACCATGACCTAATTATATGATTATAATTACGTAATATGAGTGATTAATTAAGTAAATGACAATGTCATAAAATTCATCCCAACACACTCCTAATTCACGGCACAAAAGCAAAAGCAAGAAGGGAAAGACAAAAAGGGTTGTCGTGAAGCGAGAGCACCGTGGGCCCGCGTAGCATAGGATCACTGAGGAAGCTTGACCATTCGCTGGCTTCTTCTTATTCTCTCCCTTTTCTTTGTCCTCTGTATTGTATTCGCTACAGCTCTCCTTTCTCACGCAAGCCATGCACGCGCATGCCTCCCCGATAAAATGACCATATCACCCTTTGTGACACGTCATCAATGCTTAGATCTAACCGATAATCTAGTCGAAGGTTGGTAAACAAAGGGTAAAGATTGGAATTAAAATAAAAAATATTAAAAAAATATTTAGTGTGAACAATTACTTATTATTTAAAATTTGATAAATTTATATATTTGAGATTGAGAAATATCATAAGGATAGGTGGTTCCTACCTTATACAATAAATTACTTATACTAAATACTATTTAATAATTTTTTTAATTTTAATTTCAATCTTTGAATATTATTTTTAATATTTTTTACCAAACAGAATCTAAAATTATTGAGAAATTGAATCTATAATCTTCACTTTTATAAAAAATTTTATGCTGCTAGGTTACAATGCATTTGATATAACTTCGCTTTCCATAAAGAAACTAAATTACTATCATGAACGATACAATTCTAAGAACATTAAAATATAAAAATGTCTATATTAAAAATTAAAATTTTTAAATTTGATTTCATTTAGTTCTTAAAAAAATTATGAATTTTTTGACAATAATGAATAACTGTTAAATGAAATCTTAGCCAAAAAATTCCATCTCATTTTTATTTTATAAATTCGATGAATTTTGCTAAAATTACAAAAATTTCCTTCCATTTTTAATTATTCCTTAAAATTAATTATATATTACTAACAAAAAAAAGGTTTATCAAAGTACTTTAAATTAAATCCAAATTCACAATTTTAATTAAAATAGAGGGGTATTTATATGTGTATTTCGAAGTATTTGGGTCATAGACGTCTCATGTGTGTCAGAATTGGAAAGGCAGGGAATCAGGATGGAGTGGTGCTCATTTTACTTTTGTTCCGCTGAATGATGGGGGCGCGTCAAATCAAACCCCAACACCGCGTAGACCCACGCGCCCTCTTCCTCGCCTCTTGCGTTTGGTTTTACTACGTGACCTTTATTTTCTTTCTAAACGGGTGAAAAAAATTGCCACAATAAAATAAAATTAAGATGATTAGAATAGATTTAATTCTCTTCATAAAGCTTTGAATTTAGTAAATGAAAATGCTCATATTGAGAAAATTATCCTGATAAAAATATTCAAATTTAGTTTAATAATACTAACTATATATCACATCTCCTATCCATAAAACTAATTGAATTATTTATTTTTAAAATATGTATTGGATTTATTAAAATTACTTTTTAAATCTTTTGCATTAAAATTATCGTTGACTTTGGGCCAAAAAAATCCCTTATGCAAACTTTTTTAACACATGCAATTAATAAAAATAATTTAAAAAATGATAAATATGAGTCAAAATAAATTGAAATATTATATTATATTTAGAATCAAACTTAATTTTTTTTTTATGTGAGGAAGAGACCCACATGCCTTTTACACTCATACACTTACCTTTACATGATAACATGGTAGATAGAACTCATAACCTTCTCTGTAAGAGGAGATAATGATAATGACTAGAAGTAGTACCACATGAAAAGAATGACAAGAATATAAATGAAAAAAATTACATTAGAATTGAACTTTGCCTTCAGCAATGGTGGAATTTTGATATTTTCTCATTTTTAGAAATATATAATAATATATGCACACAAAATAGTAATTGTAATAGTAAATTATTGTAGAAATAGAGAAATAGGAAAGCGGAGGGTCAAATCACGCGCGGGGAAGATGGTGAAAAGAGACGATGAACCTGAGGAGCTGTGTTGCGGTGCGGAATCCAAAACCCGATCTTGGAGAGAGGATTTTCATAGCGATGACAGAGATAATTAGAGAGAGAGAGCAGAGTTACCTCGCCTTCACAGTCCCCACCTCTGAAAACCAATGTAGCTTAAAGAACCAACACCTCTGGTCCCATTACTGGGCCCACTCTCTCTCTCCGCCTCTCTCCAGTGACTAAAGTGTACTGGTTCCAGGCAGCTAGGCGCCCATTCAAAGCGGCAACAACAAAAGAAAATAAAGCAAAAGCTACCCATTACTATCACCACCAAAAGCCCTTCCTCTTGTTCTCTAGTCTCAGAAAGAACTTGCTTTCTTGTGAGAGAAAAGCAAGGGTCAAGCTCTCTCTGCTTTCCCTTTTCCTTCCTTGTGTTGGATCACCTTCTTCCCTTCCCACTATTCTGTTTTCTGAGCTTGAGGAGGGGGGCTGTCCGAGGGAAAATCGAAGCTCTGAGCTCCCTCGAGCTCTTGAAGATCATAGAGGGCGAAAGGGGGGGAGAAACCAAGACATGCCCAATTATTTTCAAGCTTCGTGAGTGATTTTTGGCTTCATTTGAATGGTGGGTTTTTATATGTTTCGTTTGTTTCTTCATTTTTTGGGTTTCTTCTTCTGGGGTTGCCCTAGATCTTTTCATCTCCTCATTTTTCTTTCAATTTCAGACTCTTTCGGTTTTGGGTTCACTCGTTCTTTGAATATTCTGGCGTAGGCTTGAGAGTAGGATTGTTCTATGATGCAAATAGAAGGAATGTGGTCAAGAGGCGTTTAGCATTTTGGCATTTTCGACCTTCTGATATATTCTTTATTCCACTTTTGTTCCCTATCTGTCTGTCTGTCTGCTTATCTCTCATTCGCACTTTTTCTTTTTCATGTTCCATTATGGGTTTTCTTTCTATAATGAACAGATGCTATTTCTTTTTTTAGTTTATTGGGACTGAAGTTATCGATTTGTGATTTTATGATTAGATGAAGGATGTAGCATCCTGGTCTGCTGAGCTTAGTCATAACGTTGCGAGTTCAGGCTTTTTCCTCAAGGATTTGCATTTTTAGGTGTGCTGTGTACTGTGTCAATTAGACTTTGATGGTTAAATCTGCCATCAAGCACCTTTAAGCTCAAGATACTCCTCCATTTCTTCCTTCTTTTTTTCCCCTTTTCCAGGTTGCAAATTATGCTAGAAAAGTTAAATTATGGAGATAACTATAGATCAAAGGCAGAACAGGAGGATTTATTGAGGCCGAAGGAGAAGCAACGATTCACAACCACTTTGGCAAACCAGTAAACCCTGTTTAGTATTTATATAGACCACAAGCTTTAAACAGGATGTGAGCTGATGTTCCCTAAAATGGGCCTGTGGACTGTACCGATGGATAATCAGATACAACTTATTTAGTGTTTAGACTGTTAGTGTTACGGTTGATTAAGGTTAGGATTGCTTGCTTGGGGTCTCATGCTACTACTGGCTTTTCTGTATGTGCTATTTTTATGTTCATTTAATTTGTGATGGTGTTTGTGTTCTCTGCAGCCCGATGTACAAAAGCAAATCAAGATAGCACGATTCTTTGATAGATTTTTAGCTTTCTGTAAAAGCTTTTTACTACGAAGGAATTGAAACTCCTATTGAATGAACTTTGGTTCTGTTTTGCAGGTCTTTTTACCTTGAAGTCTTTGTGTGATGATAAGTAATTTGGGACATGGAGAGGGTTTCAGAGCCAAAGACACTTCCGCGAACATTACCTGTTCTAGTTGAGGTATCAAATCCACACACAAGTACAGCAAGGAGAGATGGTCAGTTGTCAAATTCACAGGATATTTCGAGTATGCGTGGGATTTCAGTGAGAGAAGTCCATCAATTGTCAAAAGCACAGGATAGACCAATCACACGGCTGGCCTCTATCAGAGAAGTGGCTCAGCTATCAAATGCCAGGCTAGTTTTGATTAGAGATGATATAGGATTTGATGGTCAAGGCTCTCATGAACCTGTTCACTTTGCACCTGCAAGATCACGGAAAGGAAAGGCATCTTTACCAGAATCAGAAGGAATTATATCTGACGTTGATGCATTAAAGGGGAGCTTTGATTTATTTGAGGAAGGAGGCCCCAGTTCATTTGCTGGTGCTAGTCACCCCCCTGAACCTGTTGATACGGATCTCATGAGAACAGTTTATGTACCAATTGGTCAAAACAAATCTGAGGCTGGAGGTTTAATGAAGAGCTTTTCCGTGAAGGGTTCTGCCCTAGAAGATCTCTCAATTCGTGTTCCGCCTAAAAAACCAAGCCCAGCTGTTCTTTCCCCTGCAGAAAGTCTAGTTGAAGAACAAAGTGGTGTGGGGAACTTGCCCTCTCCTGTTTTGGGTCCTCGTACATCACAGAATACTGATCACTCTCTCCTTCCTCCAGATTCTGAGGAGAAAGAATGTGTTTGGGATGCATCTTTGCCTCCAAGTGGAAATGTCAGTCCACTTAGTAGTATTGATAGTACTGGTGTTGTCACAGCAATGAGCATTGCTAATAGTTGTGCTAGTACATACCGGAGTGATGCGCTCACTAGTGATGGCATGCTTAGTTTAGATAGGAACTTTGATTGTACAAAGGGGAGTGTTCGGGGTGATTCTCTGGAGAGTACAAAAACTAGTGCTAGTCAAGCAAGTGATAGCAGTGGGTTCAGTGATGATAGCAACTGGAGCAATGTTACCGGTAGTGCCAATAAGCCTCACAAAGGAAATGATCCTCGGTGGAAGGCTATCCTTGCCATCCGAGCTCGGGATGGGTTTTTGGGTATGAGTCATTTTAAGCTTCTCAAAAGACTTGGTTGTGGTGATATCGGAAGTGTATATCTCTCAGAGTTGAGTGCAACACGGTGTTATTTTGCGATGAAAGTTATGGACAAGGCATCCCTAGAAGCCAGAAAGAAGCTGACTAGGGCACAAACTGAAAGGGAGATATTGCAGCTGCTTGACCATCCATTTCTGCCAACTTTGTATACTCATTTTGAGACAGACAGATTTTCCTGTCTGGTGATGGAATACTGTCCTGGAGGTGACCTGCACACCTTAAGGCAACGTCAACCTGGGAAACATTTCTCAGAGTATGCTGCTCGGTATGTTTCAAAATTGTACATATTTACATTCTGATAAGTACTTGCTCCTTTTTATTCTGTTGCAATGATCTGCTCTTCGCTGATTTGTCAGTAATCTGTATGTGTGTGACATGTGTGTACAATACTTCATCTTTCTAATATATTCCTTAATCCTTAATACCTCTAAATAAATCAGTCTTTTGGCCTCTGAGAAAGTGGTTCAATCTCTGATGCCTTAAATGTATATGATGAACAATATTCTAGTATTCTGAAGAAGGGGCGCATATATTTCATTCCTGACTTCTTTCTGTCCGACATTTCTTTATCCTTGTGAGACCTATGTGATTTGACGCCTGCATTTCTCTTGGTTTCAAGTCCATAAATTGGTTGTCTCCCTTGATCAGTACTTTTTTTTTTTTTTAACAGAACATAAGATAAAAGAATTAGTACTGAGTCTGCAAGATGGGCATCTTTCCTTTTTATCTGGTATTTGGTGATGAAATCCTTATATTTTATCAGCTTCTGTACTTATATATTTTATATCTTAAATATATCAACCTCCTTTCCATGATATATTATCTGGAGATTTTGTCTGCGGTTGAAGGGTGAGGGAAATTTTACTCAAATGCCTGTCTATGGTTGTAGAACATTAACTGCTGTGTACATGGTCTTAAAAATATCCATGTTATTTTAGCATGTGATAATATTTTAATTGTTGTCATTTTGTAGTTTTTATGCCGCGGAGGTTCTTTTAGCGCTTGAATATCTCCACATGCTTGGAGTAGTGTATCGAGACCTTAAACCAGAAAACGTGCTGGTTCGAGATGATGGTCACATTATGCTTTCGGACTTTGATCTCTCCCTTAGATGTGCTGTTTCACCAACATTGATTAGAACATCTGATAGTGACCCTAAACGAGGTGGTGGTGCATTTTGTGTTCAACCTGCTTGTACTGAGCCTTCATCAGTGTGCATCCAACCTGCCTGTTTCATCCCTCGGCTCTTCCCTCAGAAAAACAAGAAATCGCAGAAGCCTAAAGCTGAGCCAGGGTTATCAGCCAACACACTTCCCGAGCTTGTGGCCGAGCCCACTTCAGCTCGGTCCATGTCCTTTGTTGGAACCCATGAGTACCTTGCTCCTGAAATCATCAAAGGAGAAGGTCATGGCAGTGCAGTGGATTGGTGGACATTTGGAATATTCCTACACGAGCTCTTATATGGTAAAACGCCTTTCAAAGGATCAGGGAATCGTGCTACACTGTTCAATGTGGTTGGCCAGCAGCTCAAATTTCCAGAGTCACCGGCCACTAGCTATGCTAGCCGGGATCTGATCCGAGGCTTGCTGGTGAAGGAACCGCAGAATCGGCTTGGAGTAAAGAGAGGTGCAACTGAGCTCAAGCAGCATCCCTTCTTTGAGGGTGTAAATTGGGCTTTGATTAGGTGCAGCACGCCCCCGGAAGTGCCCAGACCAGTTGAGAGTGAGATTCCTGGGGCCGTAAGATTCGGACCACCAGATCCGGTTGGCAACAATAGTAAGAGGATGGTAGGTACTGACATGAAGTCTGGGGGTAAATATCTAGACTTTGAGTTCTTCTAGTATGGATTTTCATATCTGGTTTGAATTGTGTAAGCAATATCATCAGCTAATTTTGACATGAGCTGGCTGTGCATTAGCATGTTACTTCTTCAGGTGGGTATGTGAGAAAAACATTCCAATTCAATTGGAAGGGGGGAAAAAGATGATGGCCTAAGCTTAGAGTATTGTTGATATGGATGATTTTATAATTTAATGTTCCCAATACAAAATTTAGTTATTCTCATTGAGTCTCATCATTCCCTTTTCCCCTTCAAGAGCAAATGCTTTCACTTTTCATGCTATTCATTGCTTCAGTTAATAGCATTTCTTCCTCCCCATTCTCATCTATCAGAAAGAGGAGTGGAAAAAGAAGTATGTATAAACATACTACAATGACTCAAGAAATTTTTTTATTAAAGAATCCAAAGGAATTTTCATCATATTGTGTTAATTTTTCTTATAATAGGGGAAAAGATAATTCGGAGGTTTGGTTGTAGATGCAATTTGCAGTGCAGTATCTATCGGTAGTAAAAAATTTTAGATGTCCCAAAGTCAACTTATGCAGTTTAAATTAATTACACTGATCGAGGGATTAACTCTAGTAAATTACAAATTTTGAAAAGCAGAGATTAAATGTAATAAATTGAGTGATCCTTTCAGTCATAACGTGGCAACATGTTCAAATGTGTTTTCTTCTGGTCAAAATTAATAATTGTAATGGTTGTTATATTTCAAAGGTCCAATAACCCCCCCCAAAAAAAACTATTTAATATTGAGATACTAATTTAATTATATGGATTTTATCTAGGAAAAATGATAAATAAAGAAGCTGAAAAATGTAATATTCTAAATTACATATTTAAGAGTTGAAAATGACAAAAGAAAGTAGCGCCTGATCTAGTATTTTGTAAATGTAATTAAATGATTAAAATACTCTTATACTAAAAAGTTTGTTAACAAGTTTTGAATTGAAAATGACAACTGTTGAATAATAAACGTTAAGAAATGTATTGGTAATGATAAGCTATTTATTAATAATTTGTGAATTGACAATGACAAGTGTTGAACAGCCAATGACAAAAAATGTACTAGCAATGACAAGTTTGATAACCTTTTTTTCCTAAATTTGATATAAGGGCATTTTAGTCATTTAATTATAATTGTAAAATATCATATGGGACACTATTTTCTTCTTTGTTATTTTTAACTTTTAGGTACCTGAATTAGAAAATAATAATTTTAGGTTTTTTGGAATTTTTTTAATCTATAACTGCTGTTAATTTTTTATTATTATTATTAAGTGGTGTCATGTCCACTTCAGACATCCCAAGGTGTAGCAATATGACCCCTATTATTACTAAATGTTAATTTTGCAAAAAAAAAAATGAAGGTCAATTTTGATGGTTAAAGTGTCTTGTTTAATCGGAAATGCGCATAAGGTAGTTTGATGGCTCAGAATATTAAACAAAGAAAGTTGTGTTTCTTGAAAAATTGCATTAAAGTCACACCCAAGAAAAATAAATAACAAAAAATCTTTTTAAATTATTAAATTAATCCAAAGTTTCAAGGGATTTCATTGCAAAAAATTCTATTTATTCAATTACTAAATTATTCTTGTCATTTTTTCAAGTATGCATTAACAACTGAAAAGACATTTGTTATCAATTTAAGATGAAATAATTAACAATTATCGCGGCAAATATTAATAACAGATTTTTTCCGCATGTCACAAAGATGTCACACATGAGTTGTTATAATTGTTAATTGTTATATATTAAGTTGTTAATGACTATCTTTTAATTATTAATGCATACTTAAAAAAATGAGGGCAATTTAATAATTGAACAAGTGGAATTTTTTGCAATAAGATTTTTTGGACTTTAGATTAATTTGATTATTTCAAAAGATTTTTTGTATTTAATTCTCTTGGGTGAGATAATTTTTCCCTTTTTTTTTGGGAGAAATTGCATTAAATTTCAAGAGAAATAAATAAAAAAATTGCAGTAACTTCTAAATAGAGTAGAGAATGTCATAAGGAGATACACAAATACTATGAAATTTAAAAATAATTAAATATTAATTTTTTAATAAATGGAGATACATAAAAATATCTAAAATCTCAAAATTACTAGCAAAAAAATAAGGTTATTCAGTTTAAGAATTTCTGGTCAAACAACATTTATCAGTCAAAACTAACCTGTTATAACTCAAGTAGTTATACAGTTTGAGAGTCCCACTGTTATGCCCTGAAGCGTCTGGGGAAGACATGACGCCACTTAGTCTAAGATATCTAATATTTTTTTAATATAATATTTGAAGACATAAATACCCTTTAATCGTATAACTTACCATGAAAGCTAAAGATGGACTGGATCGTTTTAGACTTGATAAAGTTCACTTCAATCAGTTTAAAATACCCTTAATAAAACGCAATTATTTTGGTCAGAATTTTTTTTTTTTGGATTACTCCAGGGTATCCCCACAGACTAATCCCCCGTCCCAGGGTCGGCGCACAAAATGGCAAGGGACTGGCCACGGGGTGCTTTTCATTCACAAAAATTAGAGATCAAACTCCCAACCACTTGTTTAAGAGACGAGATACCGAACCATCACGCTCACCACAACGTGATTATTTTGGTCAGAAATTTAATAACAAAGATATATGCCCCATTCCCCACTGGGGAGGGGCCCAAATACCCACACTTCTTACACCCGCCCACCACTTTAGTTCTCACGGGTACAAAACCCACAACGTTCTCTATAAGAGAAGTGCCATTAAATGAAGTTTTTAGTGCATATATGTTCCTCAATTAAAAGCGTAAACCAAGCAAGGTTTTTCTCAAAATTTTTTTTTTTAAATCTTCAAAATCCCTTTTAGTTTTTATTCCATGTAACAAATGAAGGTTCGCACAAATTGATCGCCCGGATTCCAAAGAACTGACTCAGAGAATAGGGAAACAGAAAGGTAAACAAAAGGTTGTATATACTATAAACACACACAAACTCCTGGGAAAAAAAAACAATTAACTTAGAGATGTGTCGCCAAAAGAGCATAACTTATAGTTATCGCCACCATAAAGCCACGTTTCGGCACACTCTTGCGAGTTGCCTCTTGTTGGTGCCTCGAGTTTCCCACCCATTCTGTAGATGTCCAAAAAACTAAACAACACACACAGATATCCTCTATACAACCCACAAATCAAATTATCCTTTGCCTGTATGTTGTGATGATAACTAGTAGCTCAGAGACATCCTTTTAACTGACCCCATCCTACAACCTTGACTGTCATCAGACCATGCTGAAGGTCAGAACACAACCACATGGCCCGAGAATTAAGGTATTCTATGCGTTGGAGCATGCTTTGGTGCTTTATCAGGAATTAACAACATTACTGTCATTAGGAAAACCGAAATCCCCAAAAAGACCCTGCATCATCAAGGAAATGAAGTTAAATGCTGGGTTAGATATATCTGACATCTCTCTACACCACCCCATTATCTGGAAAATAAAACAGATTCATCCTGTCAGCAATGATTCATGCACGGTTTCTAAATGCATCAAAAAATACAGAATTCAATATCTGAAAATTTTCAGTACGCCAATCCGCAAAAAATGGGTTGGCCAACCAAACAGTCTTTAGAAGCACGATTCCTGATATGATTAGGTGTCTTCTCATAGTTATTCTGAAAAGCGAATTCAGTCTCTCCATGTTCCACGTTAACATGCCAACTCATGCCTATTGGCAGAAACTCTATCGGACAGATGATTTCCAGAAATGCTTCATCCAAAATAATCTAGTCTAAACACCTTTATTCCCGGAATCAACTAACACAGCAGTTGGAGAGCTTGGGGTAAGTACAAGATGTTTTATACCTCTATTGCTAATCTTCTCAGCACTAAATTAGTTGTGGGCTGATTTTTATGAAATGCTATCTATTCTCAATGAAAGGTTTTTCCCAAAATGTTTATGACATAATATGGACGGAAAAGTGCTTACCATGGCGTCATTGATTGCATAAGCCACACAGTAATGCTCCTGGAAATCAATAGTGGACAAATTGAGATGCGAATGGTTGGGGTATAACAAATAATAGATAACTCATCATTAATGACAAGCAAATTGCTAGCAGATTGATGAAAACTCATACTATTACTAGGTCACAAACACAATTTTCAGGAAATATCTTCTTTAACACTGGGGGAAAAAAAAACATGTTTTCTCTTCTCAATGAAACCAAACAGGCCAAGGGTGTGTTTGGTTACTAGTAAAGTCGCTTTGTAAAGTTGAAAATTTGTTCATCTCTGTTTAAAAATCAATTTGACATGGATAGCCGTGAAACTGAATGGTAATTAACTTCTGAGTTTGACGATCAGTAACTGAGATGATTTTGACTTACCTTCAATAATTATTTGAGGCTCCCTAGCAAAAATGCCAACACTCAATTTTGTTGACACTATATAAACATCTTTCCACTGTTTTCTGTTTTCAAGTTATTTTAGAAAAATTTACTTGAACTCTACAAAACATAACAACAGACTTCTAATGATGTTTTCAAATTCAATGAGAAAATCAGAAAACCAAGCAGGCTCCAAGTTTTTCCACTTTGTTTGTTTGGAAATTGAACAGAAGTTGCTAGCATATCTGGAGATCAGGGTTCCACTCAGTGTGCAGGAATATTTTCTCCAGCGCAAACCCACCAGTGAAAGCCCACCAAATTATAGCAAACAAAATCCAGGCATTGTGGGGACAATTAGCAGAAATGAAGTGGGTTTACCTGCATCATATGCCACTCTTCAAATTCGTCAAATAGTTCCAGCCGTTCAATCCTATGAATAAAGTATTGTTAATTAGTATAATTGAATTGACATTTCGCAAAAAGATGTAAGCTTCCATCCCGAAAGAGGAAAGAAGGGAAAAAAAACTGGAGAATCATGGACAGAGCACCTACTATTTGAGGATGTGAAAACTTCTACATTCAAACAGAAATGAAAAAGTTCCATCATAATAGTTTAACTGGGTCATGTACCTAATATAGACTAAAATCTGGATGGGATATAAACTACGGAAAGATACTTCCACAAAGAGGAAGGCAAGGATTCTCCTATAATGGAGCCATGAAGAAAAGCAGCCGCTTTAGACGCTTGCATTAACCGAGCAAAGAAGGGCAGCTTCCCTAACCACTTCTAGCAATTTGAATAAGAAAAACAATATCTTCATTGCTTCATCACAATAAAGCATGAAAAAGAAACTTTCTTATTTGCATCAAAGAACAATCCCCAAGGTTCACACTGTCGCAAGCAACTAATATAATTTCATTTTTAGAGAATATGTCCGATGTATCAATTACTACACATCTAGCAACACAGCACCAAAGTAGCTAGAAGGAAGAATTTGCAAGTTGTAATGCAAAACAACCACTGTTTATTGAGCAAAATACCTGCGCCTTTCATGAGCATCAATAAAGTCACTATATACTCTAAGCATATCCCATGCAACAGCTCTCTGAAACATGCACAGAAAGACAATATCAATTCATGTAGAAAAACTGAATTCACTATTTAAAAACGGAAAATTAATGCAAACAAGGGAATATAAATGGAATAATCACATAGACCACGTGTAAGGGATGCTATATTAGGGGCAAAAAGGATATTTCTTAGCAGAAACCAAAAAAAAAAAAAAAAACAGAGAGAGAGAGAGAATTGTTACAGGTAGGAAGAAAGGAGAATTGCAATGAGACCTCAAGGAAAGAAAATAACCATCAAAAAATCCCCATGACAAGTTAGAAGTTGACATTTCTTACTTTATAACTTGTCACTATAGACTGCTCAGTTGTCATTAGAACCTTTTAGTAATTATGTTTCTTTTTTGGGACTTTATTGCAATTCTCTCTAGAAAGAAAGGCATGAGAGGATGGGCATCATATATTCTCTTCGTGTGAGAAAAGCAAAGAGAACAGACAAACATGGATGCCCATATAAAAATGTTATGTAATTGTATAAAAAGAGGAATTAGTTAGGGCAGTTAATCGCTATTTGGTTAATGGAGAGATGACCATCTGTAGCTAATGGCCGTAAGTAGACAGCTTAGGGGTTAATTGTAATCAGGCTTTTGGTTAATGGAAATGTGATGCCCCTGTTCCCCCCCCCGGGTATCTGTCTGTCTCTCTCCTCTAACTTTCTTCCCTTTCTCTCTCCTGTTAGAATTACATCAAATACACAGTGTATGATTCCAACTGAAGTTAGGAGTGCAAGGACTTCATTTCACCGAAGGTTAATGTGATACCTGCCATCCTTGGTCCAGAAACAATTTTTCCTTTGCAAGCAAGTTTGGGGTAGCATATATACCCAAGAGTGCACATCCTCGACTCTGAAACAAGATAGAAAAGACAAATCATGCCATGGTTTCAATTATATATAGTTGACTTCATCTATACTTCAATTTATCATAACTAGATTCATTGGTAGTCAAGTAATTTAATGAATCGAATTAGATGAAAAGATACAAAATATGAAGGATACATATCCACTCCTGACAGTGAGAAGAACTTCCTCTTTGGAAGTTAACATTTTAATTGTAATCTCAAATAATTCAAAAAAGAAAATCAAATGCAGGAAAAAAAAATTTGATTCCAGACCTCCAAATTTCTAATCATTTGCTGCCCAAAAGCATCATCAGGGTGGATCTGTAAACAACGAACAATTTAATGTAAAGGAGATCACCTTCCATTAAACCCACCAGCAAAAGTACAGGCAAAAAAAGATATTGCTGAGAAGACTGTAACCTGCTCATAAAGGAAAAATACTCCAGTCTTAAATGTTTGGGAAGCCCAACCAACAATTGAACGAGTTGAATCTGGATCTAAGTATATCAGAACACATTCTGCAATTATAAAAGTTGGCAGACTGACGATAATGTCAGAACTAAGCAATGTACTCATTCCCTAGTCATCAAATAGACAAGGTTCTTTAGAATATACCAGAGTCACATAAACACATCGACACAGACACACACACATCCGTGGGTGTAAACACAGAAGAAATTTTCCTAATAAGCAACTTAGTTGCCTAGGGGCTGTGCCTTTTTCCCCTTGCTTTGCAATCTGATTTATACCGACCTCTGTGTGTTTGCATGGTGGCAGTGTTCTAGTTGATATAAAATATAGCTGAGAAGACAAACTCTGCTTTGATTAATCAATTAATAAATAAATAAAACTACTACAAAACCCTGAAGCTTATTAATCCCTTCAGCAAATTAAACGACTGAAAGTACTTGGAAACTGAGAGTTTTGGGTTGTTTATATGAACCTAGGGCTTCTTTCTATCTTTCTGCATATTCCGAATTGCAAACTGTATAACTGAAAGTACTTCTAGATTCTATAAGCTTCATTCTAATAAATCTTCCCAGAAGGTGCTGGAGCCTTTAAGTCAAGCTCAAGTTATATACAAATTGAAATGAAAATTCAGAGCAGCATGAGACAGAGAGGACTCCGAATAAATACCTTGGATCCATATCAGCTAGAGTTATAATATCATTCAATTTTTCTATGTCACGCAAGTCAACAGGGAGAAGTTTGTAGTGATCACTCAACACTTCTCCTTTCTCTGCAAAGAATGAAAGGTCACTAGCACGTGTTCAGATCAAAACTTAAATCAAATACCAAGTTCCCAATGATTAACTATCAGACAGAAACTTGGGCAAAGATCTCTGGTGTTTGCAAATTGCAATTAGGCACTCTAATAGGAAAACATGATACAGAGGAATTCTTTCTTTAAACCTAATCATGTGCTTGCCCATAAATTATCCGTTAGTCATGCTTTGATTGAAAAGACAATACCCAAACACCAAGAAACTACAACCAGGCCTTTCCTTAATTATTTACATATTTCACACCCTAAACCCAGCCCCATTAGGCCAGAATAATTGAATAATAGGAGTAAACTGAAAAAAGTCACTTAGGTCAATAAAAAATGACCCTCATGCCCCGAATAAAAAAAGCAGTAAAAAAAAGGATATTCTAGATCTATTTTGGGTGCCATAGAAACAGAATCCCTTTCCAATAAAGAAACCAGACTGGTTATGCTCCAGCGCCATGCATTATAGCACTGGAATAGGACCCCTCTAATGTTAGAACACAAGCCATTGCTTAATGCACAATGCTTATACAGTAATATATCCAGCATTGCTTACCCGCGGATATAACTGTTGTTGCTCCAACTTTGTCCTTTAATTGACCGCAAGTCTGAATAAGAGCAGCCTTCTTACAAGTTACCTGATTCAAATACACAACACTATTTTTACCTTGTCTACTGATGATGGTCATTCAGAACATAAGATCCACAAACTAAAAGTAAGACTTTTCTCCTCCATTAGCAATTACTTAGATATTCAATCATAACAAATCCCTCTTATTATTCTAAGGGCAAAAAATCAGATATAAATTATCTTGACAAAGCAACTACTATCAATCTAGCAAGGGACACTAAGAGAATAAGAAAAGAGACTGCCCAGGCCAACAAAAACCTTCCAAGGAAAAGTAGATTCAAGTGCTCACCTCCTTAAAATCAACTTCCACATATAGATGCGGTGCCTTCCCCTCATCCTGCCAAGAGAAGGTAGAACCATTTCAATTACAACTACACGAGCTCCCCCCCCCCCCTCACCAGCACACAAGAGCATTTATTACAGATAAGCAAACTAAGCAAAAGGGATACAACAAACATTGAAATTGATGGTAACAATACTAAACATATTCTCAGCTAGTTCAGACTTCTGTACATCATTCCAAACAAGAGAATGATGTTAGTGCCTAATGATCTATGACCCCAAACAAGCTGCATATCAGATATACTTTTACATCTTTGTGTTGCATATCAGATAATTTGTTTACATCTTTGTTTAGAACCCAAGTTGACAGCATATAATAGAAAAATTATAACATGGGAGGTTTAGACCAGCTTTTAGACTGCCTCTGTTTTAAGGTTTCAAAAATTAATGGATTTTTCCCAGTACGTCTCTACATCACAGTACACATATAGCAAAAGCATGAATGCAACATAAGTTCATTCCACCTTTTTGCTTATTTACAAATATGCAGTATGGAACTGAATTTCTCCTTCCAATGTTCTATCTAGCATGAGGGCAAAAGCCCATTTGTCTCGGCTCATTTTATTAAAAAATTACAATTTTTCAGAAAAGAGAACTCTAAAGAAATTTTAGGATGTTGTGCTTTTCATGATTGTAACCTAATGCAAAATAACTCCTGCTTTTCAAAAAAGAAAAATGGAGATAACAAATGAGTTTTTTAGACAATTAGAAAATCACCTCTCTTTTTTTTTTCAAGCTTAAACAAATGGTCCCTAGTACATGCTGTCTTCAGTTGTCTCTTAAAGTTAGAAGTTGTAAAATCTAAGGGACAATAGCTTAGAATCGCATGCCAGAAGAGAAAAATTTATGTGGAATATGTCATGACAATACTTATGACAACTCACGGGATGAACCAGGCACCTGCAACTGAAAATATGTTGTGTCAAAGCCTGCTCCAAGTGATAATATCTGCTTCTTTACTGGATTGTCTTTATCTGTCTCGTTCTCAGCATCAAGAAACTGATAGAGAAGTTTCCGAAAAGCAGCCCAACGAGCAAAGTAACCTTCATACTCAGATAATAATAACTATGAGCCATTGAAACACAGTTAAAGTATACAATTTCAACAATTCAAGTTGTTCAATTTAAATCTTACCACGATTAATAATTGGAGATCTCCTCACTGGTCTTCTGACAAATAAATGAATGTAGTCGTCTTTCATGTATCCCTTCTTCACACAGGACCTTCAGACAGTTTTTGAGTCATCATTATTCACCACATATGAATAAATAGTGCATTTGTACGCAGGAGAAAAAATAAAAATAACATGTTAATGGGCAACCACGCTAATGGAATATAGACAACTCAAACAATCTAAATTTAAAGAGAACAGACATGCAAAACTTAGGACTTAAGGAATTATATTCCAGTACAAGAAATAGAACACTCCAACCAGAGAAACAAGATTTCCAATTACCCAAACAACAAATCCCCAAATCTCAAATTCAAATAGTGCATATCAAATCACAGTTGCATCACGAAAATCAAGTAGCATTGTTCATATTCCCCCATTCTGGGTTATAATCACTAGCCAGTCATTTCATCTGTCATAGGTCAAACAAAAATGTCAATAGTCCTCACACGGAAAATATTACAAAGACGTGTGCCTTACATGGAAAAAGACAAGAAACTGCAAACTCCAACAAGAAGAAACAAGACAGATCACCCAAGGGAGGTGGTGAGAAGAACAAGGATCAAACTTCTTAGCGCAGCAAGCAAAAATTGATCTCAGAGCAGTAAATTCAACGCCATATTGTTGTCAGAAAAATCCAAATGCACGTTCTTCACAAGAACCACGCTAACAGAATAGGAAAAAGAGAAAACAAACAAAAAGCTTCCCAAGCCAATATGCTAAGAGAAACAAACATTACATCAAATAGCCACATTCGATTGTCCTTTACTTTGGTTACAACCCACAATGTAAATTGACACAAACCAAAACCATAAAATAGAAAGTGAAATAAAAACTGCCTCATAAGCCAAAACATTAAAAGAAACCAATATTATATAAAACAGACAATTGCATGATCCTGAAAAAAAAATTCAATTTTTGCACGGTTTGAATAAAACTGGGCAGCAACTGAGGAATAGAATGAACGAAGCAAAAAGGAATCGAGGGTGTGCGCACAATTTACTGGCGGAAGCATCATCGTTGGTAGCTTGAACAGCGGCTCTATTGCTATGTGAATCCGCCATGGATTCGTTGGCTCTGTGGAAGAGAAGAGATTGAAATCAATGAAACTTTGAGGCTATAACCCCGGTGAGAATGAAGCACCCAAGAAAAAAGATTACTAGGTTACGAGCTGAACAAGTTGATTCTCGTCGTCGCTCACGTTGCGTCTGGAACTGACGGATCGGCATGCTGATGTCGACTTTTTTTTTTAAGTGAAAATTACAAATCAGTAGTAAATAAAAGTGAAAATCCAAAAAAAAAAAAAACCATTAAAATATCACAACCCTAATTCAAGAATTCATCTTTAGCATGGGTGTGTTTGGGTGACACCCCAAACCATGGTTTGGGAACCCAAACCATACCCAAACCATGGTTTGGGTCCCCAAACCATGGTTTGGGGAATAATCTACCCAAACAACCCCTCCAAAAACCAAAACCATGGTTTTGGGTCAAAACCATGGTTTTGGGTCAAAACCATGGTTTTGGAAAAAGCAAAATTTTTTTGCTTTTGGAGAAAAAAGGGAGAGTGTGAGGGCCTATATGATATGTATCTTGTTATTTTTTTTATAAACATATTTTTTATAAATATATTTAATCTTATATTTTATAAATATATATACACATTAATTATTTATTAATTATATTATCTTATGTATTATTAATTATGTTGGTAAAAAACATATTATTAACAATTTTATTCCTTCAAATTAAAATATATCATAAAATCTATTTTTTCTGTAATTATCATATTAACTTATGTCTTTTTTTTAGTAATTTGTATATATAAAAAGTGCTTCTGATAACAACTATCCAAACACTCTCACTTCTCAGAATCACTTTTTTACAGAATCTATTTTCCCCAGAATCTATTCTCCAGAATCACTTTTCCAAACCACGGTTTGGTTTCATCCAAACACACCCTCGTATGGGTGTTTGGTTACTTCCAAATTATTTCTAAAAAAAATACTTTCATGTAGATAGAGATAAAATTTTTGTCAAATACTTACTTTCTCTATTATAAAATCACTTTTAAAATTATAATTTAATTTTCATCTAAACACTCTTAAGACAAAGTGTAAAACTACTTGGTCTATAATACTCCTTAAGTCCTTAATATAAGACCTATTTAACTAATTTGATTAAATTAAGAAAGTTATATAAGTTAGTTAATTGTAAGAAATATGACATGTTTTTTCTAAAATATCATAATCATCTTTCTTAATATCCTTCCTCACTCTTCTACTTGATTATGGTTGAGGGAGTATCTATAGGAGTGCTTTAAAAAAATTAATAAATATAATAAATAGGTTTTATACTAGTATTTAGGATTAAAATCAACTCAACAATTAGATCTTATATTAAGGACCGGAGGAGTACTCTACTATTTATAAGTTCTAAATTTAGGAAGGGGTGTTGTTCATTTTACAAGCTCCATTTTGGATTTGTCTTAACATTTGATGCATTTTTTAATGTTGTCCTTAATTATTTCTCTCTTATCACATTTCCTCACACATTTTTTTTAATTTATTATAAGGACATATTCAGAAATAAAAGTCTATTTGTAACCTATTTATTATTTTTAATTAATTATTTGTTATCCGTAAATTACTTATTTAAAATTTATAATAAAGACCGGAGGGAGTATAAGATACTCTTAATTAATTTACATGTACCAATAAAAATAGCTAAAAATATTCAAATGATTTTCAATATTATTGTTATTAACTATACTGAATTATAACATCATACTAATTTCTACTCTCTTATTGTGCTCACAAAATATAGACAGATATGAAAAAAAATTTAATGCTCATTAAAACTATCAAAATGTCTTAGAAAATGGATAAAAGCACTTTGTAAAAGACCTTTTGTGATATAGACAGGATGGAGCACTTATTTACAATTCTTTTTTTTTTAATTTACAAGTTAAATTTCAAAATTTATAATTTAATAAAGACAAAAAGTACTCAAATTAACTTATAAATATTGTATGCTAAATTTTAATGATATTTAAATTGCAAAACATTAAAGTTGTATTTTTTTGGAAAAATAATCATCAAAATAAAAATATTTTTTAATAAAATCATTTATCAACAGCACCGGATGTAATAGTGGTTCGATGACCGGTTGACCGGTGTTACGGATCACCCAAGTCTCAAGATTTGATGCACGGTTTATGTATAAATAATTAAATTAATTACTCCTTCGGTTCTTAATATAAGACCCAATTTTTGAGTTGGTTTTGATCCTAAATATAAGACCCATTTTTTATATTTATCAATTTTCTCTAAATTATCCCTATAGATACTCCCTCAACCATAATCAAGTAGAAAAGAGAGGGGGTATTAAGAAAGATGATTATGGTGTTTTAGGAAAAATGTGTCACTTTTCTTATAATTAACTAACTTAACTAACTTCCTTAATTTAATCCAATTAATTAAATGAGTCTTATATTAAGGATCAGAGGAGTATAAGTTTCTTATCTAAAATTTGTTTGTTAATATCAATAAAAGGGGGACCGGACCGGCCGGTTCAACCGGAAAACCGGTGAACCAGTCTCCAGTCCGGTTTGATTTGAAGAAAAAACCGGCTTCAAATGAAACTGGAATGAACGGGAATAGACCCAAAAAAACTGGTGAAAACCGAAAAAAATCGTTGGGTTGGTGGGTCGCTGGTTTTCTTTTTTCCCCCTTACTTCTTTTTTACTCTTACTGTCTCACGTTGACCGGAGTAGACATGGATATTGTTGAGAGAAATGGTAAAAGCAGAAAAAAAAAATCACAGAAAGAAAGACCCATTTGAAAGTCTCTTGTGTGCTGCTTCGAACTCGTGCTCGTGGAAGAGTGGAATGAAGAGTGGAAGGCAAGGAGGAAGATAAAGTAGAATGGATGTGCAGAGGGGAAAAATGATTACTGTTTACCATCTCTGTTTGAGGAAGAAAGAAACGAAGAGGGACAACCGGAGGAGCGAAATCAAATGAGAAAGAGAAGAAGTATAAGTGTTTCAACTTTCAAGATGCAAATTGGAATCTGCCGTTAAGGAGGAGAGAGGCATAAAAAAGTGACCTTGTGATGTGTTATCGAAAAGAAAAAATCAAGTGTTCACGTGAGGGAGAGAAAAGGAAGAGATAAAAGTATAAATTAAAATAATAAAAAAGAGAAGAAGATTGCATTGGGTCGGAAAAAGAGGGAAAAGAGAAAAAAGAAATAATAAAAAAATTATAGACATAAATATTTTGTAATATCTTATTCCCTCCGTTCCTTATTATAAGAGACGAATAATCGAATTACGTTAATAAAAAAAGCAGTCAAAATTAGTTAAGAACAATCAATGTGTAAAAAATATAATTTTTTTTCAAAAATGCCCTCATTAATAAGAAGAGAGAGCATGAGAGAAAACAATTAAAATTATTGAAAGAAAGAGAAGTGGGAGGGAGAGAGAGTGAGTTGGAGACAATAAATATGGGCAAAATAAGAAATCAACACAAAAAAGTAGAAACAACTTTCAAGTGTCTTTTATATATAGGAACATGCCATAAACATCAAATGTCTCTTATAATAAGGAACGGAGGGAGTAAAAAATTATTTTGTAATATGAGTAGTCATTCAAAATATATTATTTTTTATAACTAAAATATAAATATTTTTAATTATTTTAATTATTACCGGTTTAACCCGGTCTAACTCCGATCTAACCTATTAATCCTTAATCTACTGTTTCGACCGGTTTAGTACCCGGTTCGATGTTTTGTTCCTTGGTTAATATTGGAGTCTCAGGCTCTTTGAAAAATGGACAATAAATGAGTGAATGGAAGCCGCGGTAAAAAAGAGAGGCCTAAAGTCAAATTTTACAAAGTCATTCCTTTTTCGGCCGCCCATTGATAACATGTGACAAGATGGTAAATATTATTTCAAACACAAAAACTCAAAAATAAAATATTTCAACTAACTTTTATAATTAGAATTTAATTTGATAACTAAAATTAAAGGAGTGTTTAAAGTTTAAACACCTTAAAGGAAGGAATTACATAATTTCGGAGAACTTGGAAAAACCAACTTCTGCGCGGGAAAGATGATTTTTTTTTTGTAAGGATAATAATTATTCTCTATCAATGGAAAACTAATTTTTCTTCAAATATTGAAGATAAAATATAAATTGCTCTAACTAAAAATTTACTTCATACACAAGGGTTGGAAAGCAAATCATCATAAGTTAATAACATTAGTCAGCAATGCTTCTTTGAAGAGCAGAAGGTGAAAAGATTAAAAAAAAAAAAAAAAGGCAGTACACAGTATCTTTAAGGTATGGGCAACACTTGATTTTAGTTTTAATTTGCCCCCTCACCCGTTCCACCTTACAGTGCAAATTAGGTTTACTGATAAATTTCCTCCATGATACTGGACTAGTTTAGAACAGCTTATAATTAGCTTATAAATAGTTTTTTTAATAGTGATTTATAGAATACGAGGCAAGTATGTGAGAAAAATTTTATCTCAACTTACGTGAAATGTCTTTATAAGAGATTTGTTAAGCCCTTCCAAACAGGCACACTAACTTTAGTCGTACTATAAGATTTATTTTATAGTTTAATTTAAACCATAGACTAAATCTTATATTAAGGACTAAATGTCGTATAATGAAAATATTTAAGTATGGTTACCAAAACTCAAGCCAAGGTAACAATGATTTTTTATAAAGTGATAACTTTGTTTTATTCCTCTGTGCATTGTGCAGGCAAAAACAATGTGTTTGTGTTGTGTTTGTTGTTTGTCATGTGCAAGTGATAATGATGGGTGTATGTAGACCATGTGTTGGTTCATGAACCATATGTTTGATTCATGAACCGACATATCTCTAATAGCAAGGCAATAGTTATTAATAATTTTGAATTTCATGAAAAATAACACCTTTTTAGTTTGTAGAGTTTTTCTAAATAACAACTTTTCATCAATTGGTGATTACCACGCCTTTGATTATATTGTTTCAGAGGTGCTTTTAGAAACCAACGGGACACAGCATATCCATAGGATAACTCTTAGGGGGTGTTTGGCACTACAAAAAAGTAGCTAATTACTGACAGATTACTCACGAAAATTTTGTCACTAAACTTAGCCATGAAATTAGTGATGGAATTTATTCCGTCGCTAATTAGCCACGGAATTAGCCACAGAATTTTTTCCATCAGAAAATTCTGTGGCTAAAATTTTATAATTAAAATTAGCCACGGAATTTTCTGACAGAAAAAATTCCGTGGCTAAAATTTTATAATTAAGATTTGCGACAGAATACTTTTCCGTGGCTAATTTAGCCACAGAATTAGCGATGAAAAATTATTCTGTCGCTAATTTCTGCAACTAATTCCGTGGCTAAAATATAATATTTAATATAATATAATAAATATATAATTAAATTATATATCTTATGAATGTTAAATAAAAGAATTAAATTTAAAAAATATATTTATTAAAAAATTATTTACTATCTAAAATTCAAAATTAGTGTCATTGGAAATTAATATTATATTTAAAATAATTTTTTAAAAAATAAAGCATTATAAAATAAATAGTAAAAAAAATATCTAAAAATTATTTTGTTACAAAAATAGTTATGATTAAAATTATCATATAGTTTATTTTTAGTTTCTCATAATATATATGTGTATATATAATTATTTGTGTAAAAGAATATTATATATATATATATTTAATTTTGCATAATAAGTTAGTAAGTTCATTGCAGTTCAACTGGTGAAGTCGTGCGCGTGCACAAACGAGATCTTTGGTTCGAACCGTGGAAAAGTCACTTTGAGAAAGAATTATATGGTGACGACATGTGGCAATACAAGGTGGCATGTGAGATAGCGAGACGTGACAGCAGAGGTGAGGTGGCGGGACACGTGGTGGTAGAGCTGAGATGGCAGCGAAACCATGGTTTTAAAAGTACTTTTACAGTATACAAAGTAAATATGTGGATGAGTTTGCCTTGATTTGCAAAAAAATACTTTTCACAAGCACTTTTGGGTTACCTCAAACATCTCCTTAGTATATCATAGCTCATTACATAACTCTTCACATAATTTCCTAAGTTAGGGCTCTATTGTATTGCATTAGATTAAGTTTGGGTGAACCATCATCCAAATAATAACTACCACTCTGTTTCTTATTATATGTCACTTGTACCCCAAAAGTTTGTTTCAAAATATAAGTCACTTGTTGTATAATTAATGATCTTTTTTCAATTTTACCCCTATTAATTTAATAAAAATTTAATTAATTTCTCTCTCTCCATCTCTCTCTCAACTTTTCATTTCCTATGCAATCCATCCCCTCCTTCTCTCTCTCTCTCTCTCAACTTTTAATAAAGGTAAATATGGAAAAAAAACTGGTTAATTTAATGTATTATTTAGTTTGCGGGTTTAGGATACAAGTGACTTATAATAAGGAACAAAGTGGTATTTCAATGTGTATGTAGTAAATCTAAAATAATAAAAATCTCTTTTAACTGTTAGTTTTTTTAAAAATGATTTTTACTTGACAATAAATTAAAAAAATTTAAATTAAGGCTATTAAAACTATATTTAGACTACATAGATCTCATTATACAGATAATCACTATACTATTCATTAGTGTGATAAGCACCAAAACAGATTTCTTTAGCATCTTGTTGCAATTCCAGAAGCCCGTGTTAAAAAGTCATGAATTGGCAAAAACTTCAAGTGAGACCATTATGAAAATGTAAAGTCATGATGGATTTTTTTTATTTTTTATTTAGTCACCAAACAAATTGATGTTTACACTTCTCCGACAGGCCAAGAGCTCATCAATATAATGAACAAAAGAATGCAATAACCAGAATACAACATTTACATTATTAATTAGTTTCTCTCACCCCTCACGCCTCACTTTTCCTGATCCGTTTAAGCTTTGAAGCATACTTCTCGCCGCCGGCCATGGCAAAATCAGCCCGCTTCCGACTAGCTCGAACGGATTCCCACACATTCGACCCGACAAGGTGAGGAAAATTAAGCTTCGCTTTAGCTCCACGCATCTCGTAAGCGGCTCTATCATAAGCTATAGCTGCATCCTCAGCTGTATCATAAGTTCCAAGCCAAATCCTAGCACCATTTTTAGCCCGATCTCTGATCTCCGCCGCGTACTTCCCCCAAGGCCGGCGCCTAACACCCCGGTAGCGCTGCTCAACGGGTGGTGCGTTGCCCTCACGCGCCACTACAGCATCTTCCATTGGGACACTGTTATCAATATTGGAGCAAACTTCTGGCACATGTTCATTGACGTAATGACTGTCACACACTGAACTCTGGCCGTGCATGGGGATGTTGTCGGAAATTGTTGCCGGAGAATATATCGGCAAGTCGATCATTTCGTCGTCGAGAAGGTTCCGTCGGATTGCTTCTAAAGTGCAAGAATATTCAGAATCAGAAGGTGAGAGATGATGATGATAATGGGATCCGAACATGTATGGATAATTTTGTTCAAGTGTGGTTGTGGATTTTGCTGTTGGAGAGGAAGAAGATGAGGTTGGTGTTGCAGGTGGAAGGTGGATTTTTATAGACTGATGATGCGTGTGGACATAATAAACCCTAATCAACTCGCACTTCTTTGAAGCTTCTCCTTATTCCAACGTTTGGTTGAATTCAAAATTGCAAGTACACGTACAGATTCACGTGATTAAATTAATTAATTAATCAATAAATATATCTGTATATAGAAAGGACACGAGGAACAGTGTTTTAGAACGGAACGACGCCATCCATGCTTTTGAACTTCCGTTCGAGAAGTTTGACCCAAAGTAGACTTATTTGAATAGTCTCCAATTGTTCTTCCTCTTCTTTCCTTCTCCCCCTTTCATTCTTATTTTGTTGGATAAAAAGATATATACTTCCTCTGATCCTAATTATAAACCTTATTTATAATATAAGACTTTATTTATAGACTACAAACAAAATCTTATAATTAAAACCGGAGAGAATGGTTGAGATTTAAGATTTAAGATTTAAGAATATTTTATAAAATCATTTTTTTCTTTCTATTTTTAGGTAATCTATATCGATTGTTCAGATCAAATTTAAATATTTTAAATTTATTTATTTTAATCTGTTGTTATAATCATAATTTTATAAAATATTAAACCTCGCATGTTCTTTTTTTTTTTTTTGATTCAACAGTGAGGATGGGATAGGGAAAAGTCTAAATCCACATGAGACCAGACTAAGTAGGTTTTTTTCAAATGGATGTTGAAATTTTAAAATTAAAAATTTAAATAATAATAGTCGAAATCAACAGAATTTGAAGAATTAAAATTTCATATGAAAATGGCGTACTTATCACTTGTTATGTCATGATGCCAAGCATGTAACCTAAGCCAGGCATTCCTTCACAGAGAATGAGTATGGTATCCAATGTCGTTGGGAAAAGATTTATTTTTGTTTTCAATTTCAGTTTGAATTAATAATCAAAATATGAAATAAATCATACTTAAATGACCTCGTTGCCAACAGATAATATGCTCTAGTTAATTTTATAATATTTGAGAGAAGCGATTTTATATTATAATCTAGATTTTTTCTAGTTTTGATATAAATTTTTGTCGCAAAGAGAATATTTAATATAAATTATTAATTTTTTTGTCTTGTTCTCAATCTTTATTTCTTAAAATTCAACTTAAAAAATCATTTTTAATATCTATTCTTTTTACGCAGGTAACTACTGAGCTTGTTAGAAAAAGTTAGATTTTTTTTTTGGGACTGAAGGGAAAAGTTACAATTTAGTTTATGTGAATTGAATAATTCATAAATCTAACTCAAATACAATTTTGAGTTAGTCAGATCTTCGGAAACTAAACTTACAATAACATGAGCAAATTTGATTATCTTTAATTAAGTTTTTTACAAGTCGGTTCTCTTATTCAACTGTCTTAGATTGACTAGTAATATATCTTCATATTTTTGTCAGTTCGTACATTGTATTGGACCAGCTTTCCCATTTGGATATATATATATATATATATATATTCATTTTCGTTAAGAAAATAATTTATGGCCAATTAGGAATATAATCATGTGAAAGTCTGAGAGAATATTTCTGATCTGGTCAATATCTAGCATGCAGAGAGCGTTTAATATTAAAAAAAATTCTTATTTAGTAGAGATAAAGGGTGAAAGAGAGAGAATGTTTCATACAATTACTAAAAAATAAAAATGCCAATTTTTTAATTTCTTATGTCACTACTTATTTATTAGTTCAAGTGGCATGAAATGAACCGCAGATATTATTGATTAGCCATTTTTATTTTTCAATTTATAAATAAATACGTGCAGATGTCCCAAAAAAAAAGTAAATAAATGTTGAAATGCTAACATCTTCCCCAGAAAAAATGTACGGATTCATTTACAATAATTTTATATTTAATTAAAGTTTTAAATATGCGTTAAGATCTCATTTTTATTTTTTAAGCTCATTTTTTTTGTCAAAGAATTTTTAATCTCATCTTGACTATATTTTGATAAACAATATTAATATTAATGTAATGGTGTTATCGAGAGAGCGAATATTAATGATTTGGTCAATCTAGGATGAAGGGCCTGGGTAATTGCCCAAATCATGGGGGGAAAAAATTGGCAAACAAAGAGGAAGAAGTACAAACCACAGTTTTGGGCCAAAACTATAATTTCAGAAAAAGTAAATTCATTCTATTTCTAGTTCAAATTAGAAAATATGATTGTGTCTGTTAGACTATATCTCAGTGATAATATGACTTTAATATTCCTCAATTATTTTTTATAATCATATTTAATCATATATTTTATAAATATATATACTATTATTATTTATTAATTACATTATCTTATATATTATTAATTAATTGGTAAAAAATATTATTATGATTTTATTCCTTCAAATTGAAATATATTATAAAATCTATTTTTTATATATTTCATATTAATTTATGTTTTTTTTAGTAATTTGTACATATAAAAAATACTTCTGATAATAACTGTCCAAACACTCTCACTTTATCAAAATAATTTTTTCACAAAATCTATTATTCATTAAATCTATTCTTCAAAAATTTATTTTTCAGAAGTTATTTTCAAACTATGGTTTTGTTTCATCTAAACATACTCGAAAAGATTATATTAGAAAATGCTTCATAAAATCTCAAATAAAAAATAAAAAAATAAAAAGTACTTATTTATTGTGGCATGAAGTTGGGGCTTTAATTTAAAAAGAAAAGAAAAGAAAAGTGGCATGAAATGAAACTCATATTTTCTTAACCAATATTAAATTGTTCTTGTGCATCACCGGGAGACAAAAATAAACTGTTTTTAGATTATAAGTAGTTCATACTGTTAGAATGTTTAATTAATACAAGGCAAAAGTATAGTGAATGTTAGAATCTTGATCAATGATCATCTAACTTATACAAGGTTTTAATTTAGATCTTTAATTCTAAAAAGTTTTTTTTAAAATTTAACTCTAATACTATCAGCCTCAAAGAATAATTTCTTATATCAATACATTACTGGTATTTAAAAAGTTATTATACTTAATATATTAATAACATTTAACAATGTTTTGCTAATATTTAAAAGTTAAGGTAAGCATTAGTACTTTATAAGTTAATTATGAAAAACAAAAATGGAATCAGCTTCTCATTTTCAAATATTATATTTTTACAAAAAATTATTTTAACTCAAATTATAGTAAATATATGCAGAATTAATATTTCCGGGAAAAAAAAAAAAGAATGATGAAGAACCAAATTCAGTAGCTCTGACTTAGCTTATAACTTATAAGGAGCCATAATATTAATTCAAAATTTTTGTCCAATAAAACTTTTATAAAAAATTTTCAAAATTGAATAGCATGAAGGGCAACTAGTCCTAATCCTAAGAAAATAAGAGGAGGTTTCTTCATTTTTTTTTACTTTTAAATTTTCTTCGAATTTTACAAAATATGGTTTTGAATTTTATTACAGTGTATTCCAATGAATAAAATAATCTACGCTAGAATATTCTATGTGATGAAATCAATATATCATAAACGAAAAAACATCATTTATTGTCTATAATATGTTACTATGATATTAAATAATACTCTTCATTCATGTATTATGGATTAAAATACTTTATCAATGATGCATTTTGTTTTAAATATTAGAATTTATAATAAAATAATACAGAGTAATGAAAATTGAGAGTGTGAAGTTCATGCTGGCAGCCACGAACGATTACTTAAAGAGGAAGGCTAATTAAATTAAATAAGCAATTAATTAATTTGCAGCAACTTGTATATTTATTTTGAGGCTAATTTAGCAGCCATCCCACAAAGTCTCCGATCGTACTTTTTCGTAAATATTTCTTTCTTCGATGACTTTGTTATTTTTGAATGTATCTAATTTGGTTGGCTTTGGGAAAAGTTACCTCTGAAGTTTTGAAGAAAAGAAAAATCATATGGTACGGTCTTTATTTTGAAAGTTTCAAAATTTTAACTTCAATTTTTTTTAAGAAATCTCTATAATGATATATGATATAAAATTTTAAGCACACTATTATAGTATTATTTTTTGCTAAGTATTATTAAAATATCATATATTTGTAAACAATGGATTGCTATATATTTTTTTTCTGTGGGATTACAATAGATTCTATGATAGTTATTAGTAACACTTAAATTATTTTTTTAAAGAATAATAATTAAGAGATTATTTTTATTTTTTATTCTATACCTATTAAAATAATTATTTTACAAAAATAAAAATAAAAATAACATTAAATTTGGACCATCCAGATCCGATGAGCACATAGTTATTACTAACACTTAAATTATTTTTTAAAAGAATAATAATTAAAAATTATCTTTATTTTTTATTCTATACCTATTAAAGCAATTATTTTACAAAAATAAAAATAAATCTGGACGGTCCAGATCTGATGAGCACTGAGTGCTCATTCTTTGTTTGATGTGATGTATTATTTATTTATTTATTGCTAGCTTTATTGGATCTAATTAAGAGTAGTTTTTCAAAGAGATTTTCTGCATTCACCCGGATTTAAACTTGAGACTTTATTTTTAAGTAGTTAAAACCCCTACTAGGACCAATGTCTATTGGTGGTAATTTTTAAAAAATAAAAATAACGCTTTTTTTTTCTAACAAAACTAGAAATAATACTAATACTTACTTTAATATGTTAAGAAGTTATCTTTTAAGTGAAATGTATATCTACTAAGTTATTTTGATCATTTTTTTTTTTTTATTTCTCAATCAAGTAAATTTATACCCAGAGAATCCGCTTCACAACTTGACATCGTCTAAGTAAAAGTAATGGACCTTATTTTATGACATTTTGAAGTCAAGTGAGACATAATTAACGGGTTGACGCATGACATGGCTACATGCAATGTATAAGGGAAAATACTATATAAGTTGCTTATAGAGAAGATAATGACAGAGAT